GGTGAGGAGATCCAGGATGGAAAGCTCTCATAATTATAGACACTAGTGGAAAGTGAAGCCACGGTAATAACAAGGATTTACTAAATACTCTGCACATTTCTTTATTCTCATTTAATTATTTTAACAAACCACAAAATAGATGGGTATTAGGAATCAGGAAACTGAGGCCAGAAATTATTTGCCAAAGATAAGAAGAGTTAGGCTGGTACTACTGAGTTCAACAAAAGCTTGCTTCCTTTCTGATTTTTTTTTTTTTTTTTTTTTTTTAGTTTTTCAGACAGGGTTTCCCTGTGTAGCTTTGCACCTTTCCTGGAACTCACTTGGTAGCCCAGGCTGGCCTTGAACTCACAGAGATCCGCCTGGCTCTGCCTCCCAAGTGCTGGGATTAAAGGCGTGCACCACCACCGCCCGGCTTCTTTTTGACTTTAATAGGCAATACCTAAGGAAATCCCAAAGCACTCAGCACAGAGCACTTTATCAGGAGCCTTCTTATCAGCATGCCGCTGAGCTCTGCTCTGTGAACCATGGTCTTTCTTCCTGAGTAAGCTTCTGGGGCAGTCACACAAGCTGTAAGCAGGCCCAGCAGTCTTGCTTTGCAGAAAGGAAGACCAGAGAGTTAAATGATCCAACTATCGCCCCTCATCTCCTCCTAAGGGTTCCACCTCCCTCACCTGTCCACACCCAAGAGCCCGTACACATATGCCCCTGAGACCCTTCTCCACCTTGTGTCTGAGAAACACCCGATACAGCTCATGTGAGCAACAAATAACATCTAAGGAGAGAAAATGCCACACGGAAAATAACTACTAAACTAACTAGACCAAAGGAAGGATACGTTCACATTTAAAAAAAAAAAAAAGGACTGAGGCTGGAGAGATGGTTCAGTCGACCGAGTGCCTACCACACACACATGAAACCTGACCAGATCCCAGGCACCACATAAACAGCTGGGCATGGCCGTGTCGCCTAAAGCTCAGGTATATAGTTATTGTATTTATTGTATATAGTCTTTTTTATATTGGTTATCTTTTTTTATTGTAGATATTTTGTTTGTGATCTAACAAATAAAGCTTGCCTGAAGATCAGAGTACAGAACTAGCCACTAGATAACCATAGATGCCAGGCAGTGGTGGCACACACCTTTAATCCCAGCACTTGGGAGGAGGAAGCAGGAAGATCAGGAGTTCAAGGCCACCCTGGGCTACACAAGATTGATCCAGTCTAAAAGAAACAGAGCCAGGCAGTGATGGCTCATACCTTTGATCCCAGCCTTTAATCCTAGCACTAGGGATGTGGAGACAGGAAGTGATAGAGCTGGGCAGAGAGAGGAATATAAGGCAGGAGGAGGCAGGAGTTCAGGTCCCTTTTGGCTGGTTGCTCTGCTTCTCTGATCTTTCAGCACTTACCCCGATATCTGGCTCTGGGTTTTTATTAATAAGACCAATTAGAATTCGTGCTACAGAGGAGACAGGCAAATCCCTGAGATCACTAGCCAGCTAGTCATGCCGTCAGTGAGCATTGGGTTTGGTGAGAAACACTGTCCCAAAAGGTAGAAAGCAGTAGTGCAAGGCAGTGTTAACAGCTGGCCTCTGTAGATGTAACCGTCTCATTAAATAAGAAACACGAAGCCAATTGCAGAGTTAAAAGCCCAAGAGGTCAGAGCAATAGCTAAAAGCTAAAAATCCTTTCTTACCCTACTGCCGCTGCTGTCCTTCCTCTCAGCAAGAGGCCTACTTCCTGTCTGTCTGTCCTTTTATTAACTTTCTGTTCTGCCTTCTCATTGGTTGTAAATCCAATCACATGACCTCCTCATCACTGCCTGTCTGTACAGACCTCAAGGTCTCTATGGTTGGTATTGAGATTTAAGGCATGTGTCTCCAAGCTGGATGTATCCTTGAACACACAGAGATCTGCCTAGCTCTGCCTCCCAAGTGCTGGGATTAAAGGTGTGTACCACCACCGCCCAGCTTCTGCTATGGCTTGCTACTAGCTCTGACCCCGCAACTTTATTTATTAACATACAAATAAAATCACATTTCAGTACAAATAAAATATCACCATAGACCTCCACCTGAATATATACACTCACAATACACACACACACACACACACACACACACAGAAGAAAGAGAGAGAGAAAGAAAGAAAGGAAGGAAGGAAGAAAGAAAGGAAGAAAGAAAGGCTTTGCATCAGGCTGGACTTGTGTCTCTCTGTCCTTAAAGGTACTCCAGACAGCAGTCTTGAAAAACACTAAGGCCATCAACTCCATAAGCATCGCATTTCACAGTGAAAAAAATCGACACACTGCTCTGTTGAATGACAAGAAAACTATTGGAATCAGTCCAGCAAGAAGAAAAATCTCTGGGGAAACTATCTGCAAGCGGGAACCAGCTAACAAGATACAGTAGCAGCTTGTTCTAAAACTGTCCAGCATCACTAGAACCGAGAGGGGAGCTTCTACTACCTTTGACCTTGGGAGGAAGCATCATTCTCAAGGTCAGTAATTAATCAATCTCCTTTAAAGAGTGCACTGGAGTGTGTGTGTAAGTAAAACAGGGCATACAAATGCAGAACGAGACCGTTTATCCTACTGTTTTGATTAGACTCCTATCTGCCATCTGTCACCCACACAGAACAGGTCACAGTAATGACCATATAGGTTTATATACCGCACCTTTCATTTATATATCACATTTCACACGTAACTGTTCTTTCACTCCATGGTTAATTGATGGGGTCAATACAATTACCCCACACTGTAGAATGACCCTAGTAATAGAATCACAGAGCGTGCTAGGGAATCTTGGAGTAGACTTTTGATAGATTCTAATGGTCATTCAGTCCTGATACCTCATTCTTCCTCAGCTTCAAAAGCATCAAGTAACCCCCATTAGAGCACCCAGCTGCCAAGCACCCAGGACTCCTGCCTCTTCTCCCTGCAGGTTACTGGTTACCCCCAGGCCAACTGAAAGTATCCCAGGCAGAGATGAGGCCAGAGACCCCAGGGCCTGAGACCTGGCTAGCATACCAGCTCCTCCATCTAGGGGTCAAACTATACTTTCTCCCGGGCTGAATTCAGCCTCCTTCCTTGCAAACAGGAGAGCCAGAAAACAACTCCCAGAACTGCTGTGGGCAGAAGTACACTTACTCACACAACTCGCTTGCTCATGTTCTTAGGTTCCCGGAAAAAGTGACAAAAGGCATGCATGTCACTGCTGAGATGGGTATCTGAGCTATGATTGATTCGGACTGTCTGGACTGGATGCTCCAGCAGGGAGGTTGTGGAGTGCGTGAGCATTTTATTTCTGAACCAGTGTCAGCAACTAGTTCACTTCTCAGTTCTTAGGCTGATAATTTTTATTCAACTTCTTTTAAGAGACCCACTCAAAGAAAAGCCAAAATAACAACAGAAATAGCTGCAGTTATGTAACTCCTGCTTATCCACCAGACCTCATTCAAAGCCTGTGACTGCATTGAGTTTCGGCAAAAAACCCTGTAAGATGGGCCACGGCAATCGACCTCATCAGTTCTTCTACATAAATTAGGCTGTAAATAAACACTTGGAGGTTCTGGACTGGATTTCAACAGAGCTTATATAGTGAGCATTCTGATTTTTATTCAAGACAAGTAGTATTTCTCCTGTTCTGCTGGCTGCTAAAAACATATTTCCCTCCATTGGAGGGACAACTAACACTGACTTTTTAATGCTTTTATTTTGAGAAGTTTCAAACACATAAAAGTTGAAAAAATATGTATGTCATTTACGCCCACTCACCATCAATAAAACAGGACTTCAGGATTTTCTCTCGCCCCTCTCTTATTCCTTGATAAAGTGTGTGTGTGTGTGTGTGTGTGTGTGTGTGTGTGTGTGTGTGTGTGTTAAAAGGGTTATGTACACACATTTCCTATAAGAATCTTGATTCTGAATGCCCTTCACATCACCCTTGGCTACAGAACAATTCCGTTTCTTCTTTCAAACCTTCTAGAGACTTCGATCCGTCACCACCTACTCACTCTCCTCTCTTGGCTGGCCTCTGTATATGGGCAAATGCAAACCAAACTCCGTGAGCTTCCCACATCAAAGTGACAGTTATAACAAAGTCGCTGGAGGCTCGAGTTAAAAGGAGTGTCAGACACTTTCCAACGTCCTTAGGAGAAGGCTAAACTGGTTCAAGGAAAACCATCAGGAAACGACCAGATGTGTGGGCCCTGAGCTGGGCTGCATCTGCTCCATCCTGAGAATAAACCAAACCCAGATCTCCTCCCACGTGGTTTGACAGGCTTCCTAACTGGTACCTGCTGCTCACTCAGCCCAGACCACAGCTCCATTAGGCTAACAGCTCTTTCATTTCCCACTCGCCGGCTGACCACGACCCCAAAGCTGTTAGAATTCTCCCTCCTTTAGAACGTGGACTATAAAGAACGCAGGATGGAGAAACAGAAAAACTACGTTTGTGTCCCAGATTCTACACCTGTTCTGCGTGACCTTGAACACACTGCCTCTTTCCAAGGACTCCGTATCACCATCTGCAAAATGGGTAGGTCGGTGGATGCCCTCGTGATCCCAGCCTTCTCTCCCGGGTCCCCTCTCGGGGGAGGCACCAAAGTAAGCCTCGGCTCCTCCCACGGTCCCCCCCATGCTGTTCGCATTCCAGGGCACTGCATCCTTACCTCCCACGCCGAGGTTAACCTTGCGGGGATCTGGATCCTCCCGGAAGTCCGCAGTGAGCTTAAAGACCAGAACTGGAGGGGCCTGCGGGACCTGGGCAAAGACTGACGGAGGCGCCATCGCGACGGAATCTGCCGAGACCTCGAGCGGGAGCCCAGAGCCGCTCGGTGCAGTGCCGGGCGCGGTGACCGGAGGAGACTCTCACCTTCACCGGCGGGCGGGGACAGCCCGCGGCTTCCAATGGCCGAGCCGCGTCCGGAACTTGGCAACGCGCTTAACCAATCACAACCTTCCGACGAAGATGGGTTAGGCGGGACAAGTCTCTATTAGCCAATTCAAGAAGAGGATCTTATCGGAGGCTCGTATGATGCAACCAGTGCGATTTACACCGGAGGAGGTGTGGGCGGGGACAAGGGTGATTGGCATAGCTTGTTCCAATCGCTGAGGCTTTTATTCCTTGGGGTGATGAGGATGTTGCGGGTGGCTGGAGTCCCAGAGGACAGACTCCTTGCCCTTCTGGCGCCTGGAGACCTGGGGCAGGGGCCCGCCGGTGGGAGTTGCAGAGGACAGGTGTTCCTGTACCTGCTGAGCAGGTGGTTGTACCCGCCGGGCCCCCGCAGTGCTCACGTTCCTGAGCTGGCCAGGCAGGGCTGACAGCCAAGCCCCCGGCATTTGTGCGCAGAACTCGAGTGGTCCGCCTGGACACGCTGTACCCGAGCGTGGGTGACCTTGACCATCTCCACTCAGTGTTTCCCCAGAAAGAAACCTGGGAGTGCTTTCTGCCTTGAGCGCTGGCCGGGGAGACCCTGCAGAAAGTAAGGGATGAACGCATGCTAGTTTGAGAATTTTACTCCCCGGCTACTTACAGAAAGGGGGGGCCTAGTCCTCAAGGACCTTGAAGGATCTGGCGAGGCCTCCCTCTGAAGCGTTCCTCCCACGTGTTCTGTCATCGATTGGCTGATACCCAAGCTACTGCTTCTTGTTGTCAGGCGGCTCCTTCCCCGAGACTATTTCTGCCCAGATCCTTTCTCCACCTGTTGACCTTGAAGATTCCTGTCTGTCAGCCCTCCCTAAAACCTTTCCTCAACCCTCAGGCAGGTTAGAAATCTCTCTTTTCTATGCGTCGGACGTTTCGTTGTCGACATTACAATTTTAGAAAACGTCCTGATGAGTAGGAACCTCGCTCGGGAGCCAGGAAGGTTAGATTTGGAGCTGGCTGCCACTTACTAACTTGGGCAGGCCTGTTCCTGCTCTGTAAAGTGGAGATAATAGTGTTTTCCTCGGGGTTGTTGTGGGGATTATGTGAGTTAATACACATAAAGTGTTTAGTTGCATACAGTAAGTGCTCTCTAAATACTAGCTTTGTTACTGCACACCATCCACACCCCCTTGTAAATGATATGCCGCTTTGCCTGGGCTCTGGCAAACCTCCCTCCGTTCTTACGCTAAATATTCAACAGATGTTGGAAGGAGCCAGTTCCTTGGTATTTCATGAGAAAACAGTATCATGGCTTTCTTGGGAGAACATAATAAATCTTCACAAGTTTTCCATCCAAACATAAGCCTGGGAACTTTGAGCAGTACCTGCTGACCTTTTCTGTCTTTTTCTTTTTAAAAACACGGCCTCGTTTTTTAAGGTGACTGCCCACAGTGTTTCGCTGTTTCCCTCTAACAGTCACAAGCTAACACTGAAGGTCCAACAGCCTTGGTGTACTCTCAGTGCTTCCAAAAATCACAGCCTGAGGGCAACTGTGAAGAGGGGTGTTTCTGCAACCTAGCCTTCCTGGAATTTGATTTAGAAGTATGGTCTTCATGGCACTAGCCAACAATGTCACGGTCACTCCCTGCGTCATTCCCAGAGTGAAAAGCAACCCTAGGTTACCTAAACACTGTCAGTGTGGCTATGCTCAAGTAAATATTTCTCTGTGTGTGTGTGTGTGTGTGCGTGCGCGCATTCGTTCTGTTATGTACAAAGCAGCACTGTGTGGGTGAATATGCACATGTGTGCACAGGTGTGGGGCCCGAGGTGAACGTCAGGAGTCTTCCTCAGCTCCTCTCCACCTTATTATTTCAGACAGGGTCTCCCACTGAACCCAGAACTCACAAACTCTACTAGATTGTACAGTCAATGAGCTCAGAGACTTGCCTGTCTCCGCATGGGAGTTACAAGCATGCTATCACACTTCGCTTGTTCATGGGTGCTGGGGGTCCAAACCCAGGTCCTCCTGCACAGCAAGCACTTTGACCAACTGCGTCATCTCCCCAAATAAATATTTATCGACGGTCTAATCGGCTCCATAGTCACACCTGTGGTGATAGTGTGCTGGGGAGTTTCATGTCCACTTGATACAAGCTAACGTCATCTGAGAGGAGGGAGCCTCAGTTAAGAACATGCCTCCATAAGAGCAGGCTGTAAGCAAGCCTGCAGGGTATTTTCTTACTTAGTAACTGATGATGGAGGGCCCAGCCCATTGTGCGTGGGACTATCCCTGCGCTGATGGTCCTGGGTTCTATAAGAAAGCGGGCTGAGCAAGTCATGAGGAGCAAGCCAGTAAGCAGACCCCTCCACGGCCTCTGCATCAGCTCCTGCCTCCAGGTTCCTGTCCTGTTTGAATTCCTACCCTGACTTCCTTTGATGATGAACAGTGCTGTGGAAGTGTAAGCCAAATAAACCCTCTCCTCCCCAAGTTACTTTTGGTCATGACGTTTCATCATAGGAATAGAACCCTAACTATATTGGGACAAAGAAAGTGTTGTGTGCGGTTTCTCTTCCTGTCCCATTTTACACCTGAATTTTAGGGGATTAGAAAGGTGAGGAAGGAAGCCTATGTTATGTAGGACTCAAATGTTCATCTTTCTTTCTCAGTAATGTGAGTCTTGGGGATTGTGTTCAGAACTCTTCTGTCTTGAGCCTTGTTAAGCTACCCCCTAAATAAAATACCAAACTTGAAATAAACAAAATGCCTTCCAGGTCATTGCTAATTTTAACACTTTGACTTAGAGTTGACTCAACACTGCCTCCTGGCGGAAGAAATAATTCAAGCAAGAGGCAGATGAAGAGCAGAACCAGGCAATCAGGTAAGCCAGGGAAAGGGAGGCTGAGGTCCTAAGAGGGAGGCTGGGAGTCTCAGTGCCTCCGACAAGCTTCTAAAGCTGTCCAAGGGAGTCAGTCCTTCTGGCTCCCACCCTGACCTCTCTCTCTCTCTCTCTCTCTCTCTCTCTCTCTCTCTCTCTCTCTCTCTCTCTCTTTCTCTCTCTCTCAACTGTAAAAGAGGAATTGGGAAGCTACGTGACCACAGCTGTATCCGGAATGAATTCCTTTAGAATATGTTCTTTTAGAAATCGGAAGCCTCCAGGGCCAGCAATATTGTCCCAGAACACAAGACCCAGAGCATCGGTGGCAACTGACCAGACCTCTAAGCTAATCCACACTTGCTTGTTTTACTCAGTCTTAACCCGGAGCAGCACCCAGGATGTTTAAACTTAGCAGCAACAACTCAGGGGAGAGAAGTTTATCACCCATGGCACTCAAGCACAAAATGCTTGGGGGTGGTTATATTTGGGTGTATGGATGCTGTCATGATGGGGAGGATGTCATTTACAAGTTGAGTTTTCTGCTGAACACATATTTCTTTAAAAACCGAAGTTGTTAGGAAGATACATTCAAGAGTCACTGTGTGGCCAAATGGTGGATTCAATAAGCACGAACCCGCTAAGGGGTGTGTCCTGGGATGGTAACCGGGCTCTCTTGCTAAAGAGAGCAGTTTTAAGCTTCTCCCGGATTAACTAGCTGGTGTGCCTGGGTGAGCCTTGGTGAAAGCTTAACTCTGTGCTTATCTCCAGATTGTCTTTCTTCTTCATGTACAACTCCTCCGCCAGCATAGCCCAACCCCTCTCCCAACCCCTACTACTTCATGGTTCGTACCAAACCAGGATGTGCCTCGCTGTGTCTTATCTCACAGAAGGACATGCCCAGTGAGGCCTGGAGCAGGCGGGATCTATACTTAGTTCCTGAACTGGATACTCACGTGTGCAGGTTTTATTTAAGGCTCCAAAGACCTTTGTGTTCCAAAGATACCAACGGGCCTGTGCTGTGAGCGCTATCATTTACTGTTGACTGTAATTAACTCCCAGAGCGCCATTTAGAAATTGTTATGCTGTGTAATTTTTGTACTTAAGTATCATAGTACAATGGTTAAAAAGGCCTGACCTCTGGAAGTGGATTTCCTCTGTGTGTCTCTGTTTCCTCTCCTGCAATATGAAGCTAATAATAGTTCTGCCGGGTGGGGGGCGGGGGTGCTGGGGAGATTAACTTGTTTAATGCAACTAAATGGTTTCATGCGAGAACTCTTTGAACTGTAATTCACAAGAACGCAGCAAATGTTAACGGGGTTTGCCGAGTGTTAATAAGATTCGTTGTCGTCATCATCACTAATGTCAGACTCTTTGCTCTGAGAGGTATCTGGCTTTTTATTGAATGAGGAGCTGCACGGATGCATTATACCTACGCGTGGACTCAGAATCAGATTCCTCTTACTAGTTGAGATGCTGAGTTACTCAATTTTGTCTGAGTTTTACAATTCCTAGCTGTTACATTGTAGCAGATAGAAATGTATTACACAGCATAGCAGTAAAGTTATTATTATTGTCATAGAGATTACACTTCAGTCCCTAGGCAGCTGGAAAGTAATGGTTGAGCTCTCTTTGAAGTCTCCTTGATCTGGCCTCTTGGAGGTATATACTCAGATATTTTTTAAATGGAAAAGAGGCCAAGTGTGGTTGATGCATGCCTATAATTCCAACACTTACAAGGCTGAGGTAGAATTTGAGGTGAGCCTTAGCTACTTAATGAGTCTAAGAAAGAAGTTTTTGTAATTGCTTGCAAAATTTAAAGGAAACAAGATAATATATTCAAAATGAATTAAAATATAAATATATTAATAATAGTCTTTTATATCTTTCTCTGCAAGAGAAAAAAATGCTTTAGAAACCATCCCATAATTCTCTCAATATCTGGGAAAACCTTCATTTCCACTTAAGACAGTAGTGATCAACTTACTTAATGGTGTAACCCATTAATACTTTTTGATATCTTTAATATGATTGGGGGCTACCTCAACAACATAAAATTATTTTGTTGTTACTTCATAACTGTAATTTTCCTACTGTTATGAATTGTAATGTAAATATCTGATATGTAAGGATCTCTGATGTACAATCTCGAAGGGGTCAAAACCCACATGTTCAGAACCACTGACTTAAAACACCACCAACAGCCGGGCGGTGGTGGCGCACGCCTTTAATCCCAGCACTCGGGAGGCAGAGCCAGGCGGATCTCTGTGAGTTCGAGGCCAGCCTGGACTACCAAGTGAGTTCCAGGAAAGGCGCAAAGCTACACAGAGAAACCCTGTCTCGGAAAAACAAAACAAAAACAAAAAAAACAAAAAAAAAAAAAAACACCACCAACAAAAAAAAAGTCCCAAAGTAGATTGCCTTAGCAAAACAAACAAAAAAAAGAAAGAAAGAAAGAAAGAAAGAAAGAAAGAAAGAAAGAAAGAAAGAAAGAAAGAAAAGAAAGAAAAAAATCACTTCAAAATGACAGAAGAATGGGAAGGCCATAGGCCTTAAAAATCAGAATGTTCTCCTCACATTGTCCTGTTTCTACCTAGATGTGTTATAAATGTGGTGACTTAACGCAATGCCTACTCCTTTGAAGATTTATTTTTATTTATTGTGTTTTTGTGAATGTATGCTATGTGTGTGCATACACTTAAAGAGGCCAGAAGAGGGCATTAGATACCTTGGAACCAGAGGTACAGGCAGGCCTGGAATGGAGTCCTTGGAGCAGGTTACAGGCAGGCCTGGAATGGAGTCCTTGGAGCAGGTTACAGGCAGGCCTGGAATGGAGTCCTTGGAGCAGGTTACAGGCAGGCCTGGAATGGAGTCCTTGGAGCAGGTTATAGGCAGGCCTGGAATGGAGTCCTCTGGAAGGAAGATCAGGACGTGGCCTGACAGCTGAGCTCTCTCCAGCCCCAGTGCCTTACTTTTATGTCTGAGTTGTGGTGTCCTTTTCCCCTCTAGTTGGACATGACCTCAAATCCTGCACTTTGGTGCAAGGTGGATGCAAATGAAAAGACAGACAAAGAGCACATCAATGTCTTTGCCGGGAACACGGTGTCTCTCTCTTAACTCCTAAAGAAATATTTTAAGACACTGCGGGATAGATGAGATGGCTTTACTCTGGCTGAAAGCCAGCAGAGACACAGTTCTAACATTTCAGCATCCAGCAGTAGAGGGCAGCACTACCCTTTTTTTTGAAAAATGTTGAGCATCAAGGGAAGTGGGGAGGGGGGGTCCCCAGCAGTTGCGATTTTTGTTTTGATTTTACTTTATCCATACATGTCTTTTCAATTTTATTTTCCTTAATGCTTATGTGATTTTTTTATAGGAAGAATTCAGTGTCTTCTATTGCTTAGTACAGGAAGACTGAGGAATTGGTGAAAAACAGAGAAGGTTTCAGGTGTCCTGCCAGCTTTCTTTCTGTCTGGAGAAGGTAAACAGTGGCTTGACCTTAGGTAACCAGATAGCGGTATTATATGAACAAAGTAAATGCTTCTGAACTTTCTAGATAGAAGTGTTTCTGAAGCAGGGTGTTTTGGCTTTTTTTTTTTTTAAATGTGTGTGAATCATATGGTCACACCCCTGATGATGGCTTCTAAATTCTTACTGATTTCATTCTGCTGTGTCAGCGTTCATTTCTAGCACACCTGGAATGGATCAGGGCAATCACTGATGTAACACAGGTATTGTGACTTTCAGGAAAGATACTCCGCACAGTGGGGAAGGAACTTCTTTGCTGAAGCGGCCGTTGACTGAAAGCTGTTCAGAAACAGCCACCAAATTAGTCTTGTATGCTAGAGCCTCATTCTATTACACTATGGTTTGAATTTCCCTAACCGATAACAGGGGGGAAAAACTGACTTTTGTACTAAATGTAACTAAATCTCATTGTCAAGAACACATAGAGGAGGGAATAATCCTAATTTTAGCAAATACATAACCAAAGTATTCTTAGCATATTTGGGTTCTGTCCTGACCCTGAAAAGATTTTTGGCAGCAAGTCTTCAATTCCAGCTTAAACAAACCTCGGGAGGAGTTAGCGGCAGCAGACATCAAGTCTGGTCCCGGCTCTGCCTTGTGAACTGTGTGAATTATACCCTCTGAGCCTCTGTTTCCTCCACTCTTAAGTAGAGATACCTCTGGATTTATTAGAAGGGCCAACTTAGAAAATGCATATGAAACCAGGCGGTGGTGGCGCACGCCTTTAATCCCAGCACTCGGGAGGCAGAGGCAGGCGGATCTCTGTGAGTTCCAGGACAGCCAGGGCTACACAACACAGTGAAACCCTGTCTCAAAAAAAGAAAGAAGTGAGGAGGGAGAGAAAGAGAGAGAAAATGCATATGAAAATGCTTTGACTTACCTTCTTGTAGGAGGGAATAGGGAGTGGGTTGAGGGGGAGGCTGGAGGGGCAGGAGGAGGGAAGAGAGAGATCTGTGATTGCTATGTAAAATGAATAAAAAATTTTCTTAATTAAAAAAAATGCTTTGAAAGGGCAGGAGAGGTGGCTCAATGGTTAAGAGAGCTGGCTGCTCTTCCAGACAATCCTGCTTCAATTCCCAGGACCCACATGGCAGGGCACAACTGTCTGCGATCTAGTTCTAGGGGCTCCAATGCCACCTTCTGGCTTCTGTGGGTAGTAGGCACACAGACATTCATGCAGACAAAACACCCATACACATAAAAATAAATTAATAAGTTTTAATTGGTCTAAAAGCCATTTAAGTACCTAACAAGTATTTCTTTTTTTTTCTTTTTTTTTTTTTCTTTTTTTTTTTTTTTTTTTGGTTTTTCGAGACAGGGTTTCTTTGGAGCCTGTCCTGGAACTTGCTCTGTAGCCCAGACTGGCCTCGAACTCACAAAGATCTGCCTGCCTCTGCCTCCTAAGTGCTGGGATTAAAGGCGTGCGCCACCACCGCCCGGCCCTAACAAGTATTTCTATCATTGTAGCACAAAGAGATTAATAACTGTTCGAAAGTCCTAAGACTGTCTGTCTTTACTCTTACCTGGTGTCTGTACATTGCCTGGGGTTGTTAGTTAATTGTCATGTATATTTAACTATCTCCTTTACTCAATTACTAGTTTCCTAAGACTCAAAGCCATCAGACCTAACTTTACATTTCCCATGACAGAAAGGTATTTGATGCATAATTAGAACATAAATATTTGTTGATTGATTAAAGACAAGCTGCAATACAAAATTAGCTCTTTTACTGTGGTTAAAAAACCCACGTAGCACACTATTTACTATCTTGACCATTTGAAGTACACTATACAGTAGTGTTAGTCATGTTCACATTGTTGTGTGCCAGATCTCCAGACCTTTCCATCCAGAATGAGCTCTTCATAATCCTCCCACATTGCTAGTTCCTAGTCTCAAGAACCTTCTTCACTGATTGAGTACAACACAAAAAGAATACAGGAGTTCCTCTGTGTGTGTGTGGGGGGGTGTGGATGTGGTCACCCGAGGACTTCCAGCCTGCTTTACATTCCTTTGGTTCGGCTTCCCTTGTGGACAGTCTGTGCTTGTCTCCTGAGTTGTCGATCAGCCACAGGCTAGAGGCCTGGGCAGAGGCACCAAAGAAGGTACCGCTGAAAAGCACTTTCTCGGACTATTTCTCTCTTATTCATAACTGAACACTTAAGAGAATGATTAGGGTAAAAATATAAAATTTATTCTCATAATTGTTTGATTTTTCAGGATAACTGAATATTGTTGCTTACTGAAAAAATATTTTTTCTTTTTTTTTAATGTGTATGACTGTTTTGCCTGTATGTGTGTGTGTATGTGTATTCACCATTTGTGTGCAGTGCCCTTGGAAACCAGAACAGGATGATGGATCCCATGGAGCTGAAGTTATAGACAGTTGTAGATCATGATGTGGGTACTGGGAACCAAACCCAGGTCCTCAGCAAGAGGAATAAGTATTCCTAACTACTGAGCAATCTCTCCAGAGCCTCCCCCAACCCCAAGAAAAACAGAAATTGATCACAAATAAAAACAGCCAACAAACATCCCCAAATCACCCTCATTATTAAACTGGAGTCATTCCAGTTTGTCAATATTTACCCACCAGGCTGACAAAAATGTAAAATATTGGTTAGCGTTGGGGGAAACAGCATTGGCATCACTGTGGAGTCAGGGCCTCTTCAGAGACTCTAATACAAATTAGTCAAGTTCAAGTGTGCACGCCGTTTCTACTGTAAGAGTTTACCCCAGGGAAACGTATACAAGTCTGCGAAGACAGGGAGGTACACAGACGCTCTGCAGTCTCTACTTTAACAAACATAATAAGTAGTGGGACCATTTTTATAAACTCTCAAATCATACTTTTGTTGAAAACCAACAGGTTTGAAAAGGATTTCATAAGGATACAAATTAATGTAGAGTCTAACAATGAAAATTGGGTAGAAAAGAGGAAAAAGTGGAATATTGTACTGTCAAACATATACTTTCAAACTCAGAAAATATTTTTCCATAAAGTTCACAAGGCTGGCTTGGAAATGCAGAAGCCTTAAAAAGCACTTGCTAGCCAGTCATGGTGGAACAAGCCTTTAATCCCAGCACTCAGGAGGCAAAGGCTTCTCTGTGAGTTCGAGGCCAGCCTGGTCTACACAGTGAGCTCCAGGACAGCCAGAGCTATATAGTGAGACTCTGTTTCAAAACCAAACAAACAAGCAAAGCCCTTACTCTTAAAGTGATGATTTTTAAAAATATAAATCCTAGGCCAGAGAGACGGCTCAGCAAGTAAAGACCCCTGCCACCAAGCCTGGCCACCTAGGGTCAAGATCCACATGGGTGGAAGAAGAACACCGACTCCTATAAGCTCTCCTCTGACTGCCACATCCGTGCTGTGGCATGGGGATGCATGTGCGCACACACAAATTAATAAGTAAAAATAAATATATGTCCTAAGATACTCCTTCCCAGGATTTAGATAGCTCCGAAAATAAATAGTAGCTGTAAAATGAGTATTACTGTACTACCAGAGTTTTTACAAGAGTTGATGCCAATTCTCCTAAGTGACGAGTGCCTACCAAACACCAGTGTTTAGCAGGTAGCAGGAGTTCCGTGTTTTCCTGGATCCATTGGTGCTTCCAACTGCCTCACCCATTGTAGGGCTTTATTTATTTAACAACAGTTATATAGTGCTTACTGTCTTCCAGGTACTGGCTAAGTGCTTTACAAACACTAGCTCATTCTAATTGTATAACAACTGAAGTAGGTGGTCTTATCCCATCTAACAGATGAGGTAATTAAGGCAAAAAGCAGTCAAGCAATCCATCCAAGTT